TCATGATCGCTCACACACTAAAAGGAAATGGTACACGGAAGCATCAGTTAAAAACAAACATTATCGTATCTAAAACTTATTATTAAAAGGCCCCTAGGCATGGTGTAATTGTTAGAAAGCTTGTCTCATTAAAACAGTTGTGACTGAATCGTGAGTTCGATCCTTACAGGGTACCCCGTGCTTCTGGCATGGTGTGGCTTCTAAGCTACACTTGGAAAATCACTATAGTTTATTATCAAAATACAAACGCTTGTCAATTCAATAAAGAGTGGCAGTAAGTTGCTTTACACTTGTTTCCTGTGTTCTTGGAGTTTTGAGACACTTAACGTTAAGCTTATGTTTTCATAATTTATTTTTTGCTCAATTCATTTTGAGAGGTTCATATGATAAATCAGTCGATTTTATTGAAACTAGTCGAAATTCAAACTTTATACAAATAAACAGTCTATCGTGAATACAGGTATCTGTTTGTTTTGGTGTTATGGAAAAATTCTAATTTTCAAATCCTCTTTAGATATATTTGTATAAACTAGCACACACACTCGCTAGCGTATCGTCATCTTCAGCCATAGAGGGTATTCGTTTTGCAAACCGGGAAAGCAGTCATGCTGGTGAGCTATACTTTGAACTTTGTCAAATTCGTGAAAATCTAAGAAACATGCCTTTTTACAGATCTGCACAAACTACAAGAAGACAGAATGCATGGTCATCAGTAAGAGGATGAGCCCGAAATGGGATTTGCAGGTTGAGAATAAGCAGACGCAGAAGTTTAAATATCTTGGAAGCGTCTTGACAGGAGACGGTAAGTGCGACACTGAGATCCGTACACGCAATGGGATGGCCAAGGACGCATTCCAAAAACTGGGTAGAGTATTGCGAGACAACAGGATTTCTTTGGTAGCAAAGAAAAAATACTGAAATGTTACGTGACATCTATACCTTTTTACGGCAGCGAATGTTGGACAATTTCCTCAAGGATGAGGAAGAGACTCGAGGCGATGGAGATGTGATTCTATAGAAGGATGCTGAGATTGTCATGGATCGAGCATGTGAGCAACGATGAAATCTTAAAAAGGTTAAGGAGAAGGCTTATACTTAACAGCAGACCTACAAATGAATTGGATCGTATTTAAGATTCCAATAGAATAAATTGTGACCATGGAATATTAGTGTTTAAGCCTTTTTATTATATCCTTACTCTGTCATGGACATTGAGTTCTACCTGGATTCTATCCTCTTGGAATTTTTTTTTTCTTTTCAAAAAATATATATGTATGTGTATGCATGTATGTATATATATTTATATATTTTGCATATGTATGTGTATATTTACCACTAATATATATATATATATATATATATATATATATATATATATATATATATATATATATATAGATAGATAGATAGATAGATAGATTGTCAAAATTAAATTTGTCACTTAGCTGATTCATGTTATATTCAACTTCTCGACTCCAGAGAGTCGTAGACGAAAATTTCCATAATTGTTTATTCCACTATTTCATCAAATATATACATATAAATATGTTCCCAAATGCTGTATTGACATCAGTAATTTTGGCGGGTTATTTTAACATTATACGACAGTCGTATAGGAAAAATATCTCAGAAAGTAATGTCTTCTGTTTTCATATGTTTGACCATATCACCAGAAGTGAATGCTGGTAATATGAGAATCACTATGTCGTTTTGAGATTCAAGGGGCATACATTCCACTTCATATGAAATGCAATGAAAAAGAAATAGCGAAAACAAATAACAAAATATCCCTACCTTAAAAGTTAAAGATTTACTTTTGATTTTGTTTGAGAAAAAAAATATGTTGATTGATGAGAAATGTTTGCTCGGCGAAATGTATGCCGAACATTAAATACAAAATCGCAAAACATTAACCTTTTCACATCTCTCTGTCTATAAAGCCGTGTTAACTAAGCACTTCTCATTCCATATATATATATATATATATATATATATATATATATATATATATATATATATATGAAAATAAACCCTCAGTACATGTTTCAACTATAATTACAACGCCTTTTAGAGGATGAACTCCTTTTGAAAAAATGGTTTGACTGTGGAGACCAGGATGTAGAGGTTCCGGCAATGACCATTGTACTATAGCATAACATTCGTTGTCAGCACTGCAGGGCGCCGAGGGGAAGTGGTGTGGTTCTTTTGAATAGAACCCTGCTGCCGTCTCTTTGCCACGTGCGAATGTCAATGGTATAAAATGTATATTTTTCAACGGAAACATATAGGCAGTGTATGTGCCGGTATTTTCGGGTCCGTTTCTGTGTTCTAAGGGTGCATGCGTGAAATTGAGTAAGTGCCTGTTTAAGAATGTAAGAGAAAAGCAAAACAAATTCAAGGTGTAATGGAAGTTAAACTCACTCACAATGGCTAGTATTATGTGAGCCACTATATAAAGACATACGCGAGGATGTGTAAGCGCACGTGCGGTTTTAGACGTGTCCGAGCGTGCGTGTATGTTTTGTATCGAGAAAAAAAAAAAAAAATAAATATATATATATATATATATATATATATGTGTGTGTGTGTGTGTGTGTGTGTGTAAATTATTTTCAGAGTGAGGGTGTCTGCGAAGGAAAAAATGAATAAAAAGACATAAGGAAAAACTATCCTTACCCACCTCGTTTCAGAAGACGAAAAAGAAGTGTGAACCTGGCGATAGGCGAATCTATCTATTCTAATTTATATATATATATATATATATATATATTATTAAAGACATTTTTATGCTTAACATTCTTTTTATAGATACAAGTATTTAAGTAAATGCTCTGTTTATAATAAACAGTATTAAATAACCTTTACCGGCCTGAATGTCCGAGAAATTTTTCATAGAAAATATTCGTCCTTTGACAGGATTCGAACCTGCATCCTATACGGAACCGTCATTTACGCTGACGTGCCTTAACCCACTCGGCCACAATGAAGGTTCCGTATAGGATGCAGGTTCGAATCCTGTCATGAGATAGCTAGTATGATTACTTATATGTAAGTCCTTGTACGTGTATACAAGTATTTGTATATACTTGTCTTAATATATATTCTTACTTAAGAAAAAAAGTGTATTTGTATTTTATTTTTCTTTCGTATTCATTGTTTTTATATGCATTTACAAGCCTGTGGTGACGTGAGAACTTGATATTTTGCATGTTTTTATGAAACACACACACACACACATACTTACCTTGCTTATGTCAGAGGGTATTCCCCCAGACGAGGCCCTGCCGAAGGGTAGAGTCTCGTCTCTGGTCTATAGGGAATTTTTCCCCGAGCCTACGGGCTTGGATACCCCACTTTAAACTCGGCCTTGTGCCACATCTTGCTGCGTGGGGCAGCGGGTATATATATATATATATATATATATATATATATATATATATATATAACCAATGTAACAGTAAAATTGTTTAAATTGTGTAACTGTAAAATTATCCAATTGTTAGATTAAGCTCTGAATTGTATCTTAGAAATGATTAAGAACTTAGTGTAATTCTACGAGGTTTTTATAACACTATTGGACTTTACTTTGAAAAATAAGAATGTACAACAGAAGAATTGTGATGAAGTCGATCACATGGAAATTACATGTGTACTCGTGAGCGTGTGTGTGTGTGTGTATGTGTGTGTGCCTTTCATTTAGGCAGAAGTGTCTGTTGGGTCCGTGAGTGTTGAACAAAGACGAATGTACCGGAGCAGATGTCTACAGCAGGGATTAGTTAGCCACCCTAGCAGCCTGGCATATTCGAATACACCTATTTCTTATATATATATATATATATATATATATATATATATATATATATATGGAGAGACAGAGAAAGTGAGTTAGATTTTCATATCAGCTTCATTGTTTACTTTCGTTATGGTATAAAATGGCAGCAAATTATAGCTAAACAGCGCCTTCCATCCGATTTTATTTTATTTTTTCCATTCCTTTATTTATTTCTTCTTTCATTTCTGATGATGATTCGACTTTTATCTTTTCTTTTGCTTTCGGTTTTATTTTGACTCCTTTCTTTTCTCGGAATCAAGTTGATTTCTTTTTTTCTCGAGTAAATTTAATCTTGTTCTTTCTACAAACATATTTCTACTCTGTTTATTGCCTTACAATAACGAGTTTTACTTTTAACCTAATTTCAAAGAATTTTATGGCTTTTCTTTCCGTTTTTTGAATGTTTGCATGAATTTATTTTTTTGCAATCGATCCACAGTTCTTAAGCTTGCCTCATTTCTTTCTTTGTTTATTTTTTTCTTAGTTTCACACGTTTTCTCTTTTGCTTTTTCTTTCGTTTTCTCTTCAGATATTTCTTTTTTCTTTCTTTCTTTGTTGTTTTTTTCTTAGTTGCTTTATTTCTTTTTCCTTCCTTCCTTTTTTCTGTCACATGTGTTCTTTTTTTTATTCCTTTCATTCATTTTCTTTTCAGATATATATTTTTCTATCTATTTTCTTTCTTTCAGATGTTTTCTATTCCTTTCTTCGATGTGCGGGTCGTGTAATGGATAATGCCTTGGAAATGTTAATCAGAATATCGCGTTTCAGTTTAGTTCTTCAAATTCACTTACAATGGTTCCTGTCTATGCTTTCATGTATTGTGAGTCTTCGGCATCTGTTGCTCCTTTTCTTAATCTTTACCAGTTCCATCACATTCATCGAAAGGTATGAATCCACCTCTTCTCCCCCAACTATGGATTAATTAGTAAAACTTGTATCATTAAAAACATTATTATCTCAAACAAAAATTCTTACTTTTAGAATGTAAGAAATGTTTGGTGATAATAATGGTTTAGTGATACAAGTCTTACTTATTAATCCATAGCTGGGGAGAAGACGTGGATGCATAGCTTTCCCAATAGCATTTGCGCGTAAGTGAATATAATGAACTCAACTGAAATTGGAACAATTCAAAGCCATTTTCCATTACACCACCTGCATATCCAAGTACCTGTTATTACCAATCGGTCACCCATCTAAGTACAGAAGAGGCACGGCCTTTCTTAACTTAGGTGATCGCACGGGAAGCGGTATTTAAATGTGATGTAGCCGTAAATTAGTGCTATAATTTGTAGTAAAGACCAACCTCCTTGTAGTGATTTTTTTCACGCTAAAACCAAACAGCGTCTCTGATCAGCGACTTATACGTCTTTCTTGGCACTGTCTTACATCATACGACTTTCTTCGCATAAAAAAAAGGGAATGGTGCATTATTTACCGGAGGTAACGTCTGGGAGTAACTTCCGCGCTGCCTAACTTACTAACAGAAGAACAAAAATATAATATGATCCGATAATCTTGGAGCCGATTGAATAGAAACATTGCAAATGTCCTCAAGTCTAATCATATTATAAAAATGTTGACGTATAGGGAAAAGATCACTGCATTTGGTTAGAATATGTTTTACAGTATATGCCTCTTTGCATGCTTTGTATTCATGTAGATGTTCCTATTTTTATGAGAAATGAGTGAGTGATATAGGTTGTCTCCTATTATTATTCGTGATTGGAGGACATCTTCTTTCCAAGAATGGCTGAGACATTTATGCTATTCTCTTAGAATTATCATGGATTCTGTTTGTGTTTTTAAATATTCTCTGCGTAACAATATTTGTATTTCTTCGACATAATGCATCCTATATTCCTCTCTAATTCTCATGTTCCTTTTTTTAATCTTTATAAATTCCATCACATTCATCGATTTACATTTTTCTTACGATTCCATCATTTTTCATTTTAGGCAGAAGAAGTAACGGTCAGAGGATTCAAAGAATGGTATGAAAAGAAGAAAGAACCAGTTCAGAAACAAAAAAGGGCGCAATCGGTAAAAAAAAAAGATCAAAGATCGAAATAAATGTTTTCGTTATCTTCCCCGTTCTCCGCCTTAATTTCTATTTTTTTTTATTTGCTTTAATGTACATAACGTACAAAACCTGAACGCGTTCACTTAAAAAGCATTTTTATTTTATTTCTCCCTCTTATTTCTGGACTGCTTTCATTTTTCTGCAGTCTTAGACTTTCGTACCTGAAAAAAAAAACAAAATTACTTTTTTTTCCGTTGACACCGCTATTATTTTAATTACCTTCACTTCTTGGCAATATTTACTGTTTTAAAAAGCGAAGGTTAGAATTTTAATGAAACCTAGACATATGAAGGTGAATTCATATATATATATATATATATATATATATATATATATATATATATATATATATTCTTTATTCTTGAGAAAACAAAATATTAAATCCTATTTTTTAGATTGTATCTTGGAATGGTTGCAAAACATTAGTTATTTGGCAAGCAATTCCAACTTTTTAAAATGGTAAATAATAAGCACTTCATTAGAGTTGGTTCACATATTTTTTATAAATTTAAATGATTATAACTTTATAAATAAAAAAAGTTCATACATATATTTTTTTTTATAAATTGGTAAGTGATAAATATATCGTTGTATTAGTTTTTAGAATGCTGTAGATATAAAATTCGTCTTGAAAATAAACAATCTAATAAGTAAATAGTGATTAATTTTTTGTTGTAAATTTTCAAGAAAAAATGTTCAAATTCACTTTCATCATATGTTTGGGTTTCATTATAATTCTAATAATCGCTTTTTAAAACAATAAACATTAGCAAGGAGTGAAGATAGTTAAAATAATAGCAATGTCAAAGGAAAAACGTTACTTTTGACTATCTGTTTTTTTTGGGGGGGGACACGATAGTCCAAGTTTGCCCATTTTCCTTTCTTTTACATATTCCTATTTCTAATTTCACTTTTCTACCCCCCCCGCGTTTCGTTTCTTTATTTCTCTATTCATGATGATTATCTTTCTTTCACTTTTTCTTGTTTTTTTCTTCTTTATTTTGCTTCCTTCTTATTCCTAATTTCTTTGTCTCATTCCATTTGCATATTTTTCAACACTTTCCGTTTCACCTTTATTAAGATGTAGCAAATATATCCTCCCATGTTTTTAATATAGATCTTTGATTCCTATAAACATAGATAGACAACCCGTAACTCCGCTATTATTATTGTCATTGCATTTACAACTGAGCGAGAGAGCAATACACAAACCAAATGACACTGGCATAAAAAATATTCGAATTCCAGTATACTCAACATGGCAACCTGAGTATTTCCAGCACAAGCATCACAGCCAAATGTGATTATTATTATTATTATTATTATTATTATTATTATTATTATTATTATTTCCTTGGATTTCTGTTGTATACATATTTCCATCCAGGTCCCAACCAGAAACCTCATTTTTGGTAAAAAAAAACAAAAACAGAAAAACATCAAACTAAAATCACACATTTTATATCGATAAAGCTCTTCGTAATGTTTATTATTATTATTATTATTATTATTATTATTATTATTATTATTATTATTATTGCTGCTGTTGTTTGATTTCCTTGGTTTCTAGTCTATACTCATTTCTTTCCGGGTCCCGACCAGTGACCTAAGGTCAGAAATGGCATCATGACATTTTCCACTAAGCAGTTATGTAAAAATGAAAATCACGCATATTTTACATAGATAAAACCCTTTCTATGGTATGGGCTGTACTTGTGAGTACAATTTTTTTTTATTTCTTTAAGGAAATCCCTTCAATGAGTCTATTGGAATCTTTCCAATCAATCCAAGGGCTTCAAATGTAACTGCAATTGTTAATGTCCTAATGTGCCACATTTTTGAGATCTCAATTTCAAGGTCCTTGTATTTTGATAGGTTTTTGAAGATCTTCAAAGACACAATATAGTCTACAGAGACTGTCATATCAATAAGGAGGCCTATTTTGTCTTTGCAGTCTCTAATCACGATGTCAGAGCGATTAACTTTGATTGTTCTGTGTGTGTGTGTATTGTAAAGTCGCATGAAATTGTTATAGGTCCTATCTCTTCATTATTATTATTATTATTTTTATTTTCTTTGATGTCTGGCGTTTACACATTTCTTTCCGGGTCCCGCCCAGGGACCTAAGGTTAGAAATGGTGTCATGACACTTTCCACTGACAAAAAAACAAAATTAAATTACATAGATAAAGCCCTTCGTAAGGTGTGGGCTATACTTGTGAGAACAATTTTTTGTATCTCCTTGAGGCATGGACTTCCAGGAATCCCTTCAATTAGTCTACTGCAATCTTTTCCAACTAGTCCTAGGACTCCAACTACAACAGGGATTGTTGATGTTCCCATATGCCACATTTTCGAGATTTCTATTTCAAGGTCCTTGTACTTTGACAGCTTTTTGAATATCTTCAAAGATACATTGCAGTCAGCAGGGACTGCCATATCAATAAGGAGACATCGTTTTTGTTTGTGGTCTTTAATAACAATATCTGGCCGATTGACCTTGATTGTTCTGTCAGTGTGTATTGTGTAATCCCATAGAAATGTAACAGGTCCTATCTCCGTAACCGGGTCTGGGTTGTGTTCATACCAGTTTCTTTCAGTTTCCTTCCCGTAGAAGTTGCAGATTTTCCAGTGCAGATATTGGCCCACTCTGTCATGTCGGGTTTTATATTCAGTGGGTGACAACACCGTACAACCTGATACAAGATGATCAATCGTTTCTGTATATTTATCACAGAATCTGCATTTTGGGCTGACACAATATTTTAGTATATGTGCTTGATAATTCCTAGTTAGCAAGCATTGGTCCTGCGCAGCAAGGATAAAACCTTCAGCTTCCGGTTTCAACCCTGCACTAAGTAGCCACTGATTGGTACGGGTTTTGTCTACGTCAGCTTCTTTGGTTACGGGCAGAGTATTTGCCATGAAGCGGTTTATCTCGCCATCGCTTCTGTAACTGGTCGGTTGCATTCGTCTTTGCTGTCTTTTTTAGGTATTTTGCAGTTTCAGCCGGTGTATTGTGCTGTAGTTGCATCTCTACGCCCATTTGAAACTCCTTATTATTATTATTATTTTTATTTTCTTTTATTTCTGGCGTTTACATTTCTTTCCGGGTCCCAGGGACCTAAGGTTAAATGGCGTCATGACATTCCACTGACAAAAAAAAAAAATAAATTACATAGATAAAGCCCTTCGTAAAGTGTGGGCTGTACTTGTGAGAACAATTTTTTGTATCTCCTTGAGGCATGGACTTCCAGGAATCCCCTCAATTAGTCTACTGCAATCTTTTCCAACCAGTCCTAGGGCTCCACCTACAACAGGGATTGTTGATGTTCCCATATGCCACATTTTCGAGATTTCTATTTCAAGGTCCTTGTACTTTGACAACTTTTTGAATATCTTCAAAGATACATTGCAGTCAGCAGATTATTATTATTATTATTATTATTATTATTATTATTATTAAGTTTTCTTGATTTGCGCTTTGATACAAACCATTACACATTTTTTTATTTATTTTATTTTATTTTTTTGCTTCAAGCCTGAAGCAAACGAAGGTTTTCCATGGAATACTATCGCACGTATTATATCGAAAGAAATTTTCCAAGCAGGTCAGCGGTGCCTTTGGACACAATCTTTTGTATCTCAGATAGCTATGAGTCGTCTTGGGACATTCCTAATGTATGTATCTTTTCCTACTTCCCCATTATTTTTGGAGTACTCGTTGTGTATAAATGCAGGAAGAGACAGTTGAAAATTTGTAGTCAAATAATGAAGAATGAAGTCTTGGAAAATTTCATAGAGGAAAGTTTTAATGCAAGTGGGATAGAAGAAAAAAATGGCGCATCATTTGCTTGGCGAGCTTCTGGGAACGGATGGCGGAGGGGGTTTGGGGAGAGATGGCCAAAAGACAAAAGATTAACTCAACCGTGAGCTTTCAGGATGATAAATATTATCAAAGATATTACGTAAACTTTTTTTTAATTATACAGGAACTAGATTGAAAGATTAGAAAGCTAAAATTCATTTTTATATGCGCCGGCTCATTTCCGTTTGGCGTTAATGGATAATTTTTATTTCAGCTTTAATTTGATATTTACTAAACATTGTGTCTGCTTGTCTTGAGCTGACGGGCAAATCAGGATGAAACCATCGCTTCCTGTTTGATCACGGAATTGAGTTCAGCCAGT